CTGTGGAGCCCAGAATACTTTACTCGGCTCCTGTGCATGCATTTACTCCTTGGGACTTGGCTTAGACCTTAGACCCTTAATCTTTTTTGGGACTCCCTTATAACCCTAGTATGGGTACCTAATAGTTATCCCATATTAGGGATCCTAAGTGCCACGTAGTGCAAGGCAGGTTACTGAACTTGTTGTGGTTGCTCACACCTTGAGGATGGTGTAGTGTCATGGCTTTCCCTGCTAATAGGCCGCGTCCCCCTCTCCCACCTTTGTGCGTCGGCCTGAAAAACATGTTTGGTTGGTGGGGCATTGTTTCAAAGACTCAAATGAGGGCATCTCTAGCTAGTCCCTTGTACGAAAATCTCACATGCTGGAATGGGTTGACGTATTAAGGACATCGATGCCATTCTGAAATTACTTCTCATTCATTCGCTTGACTTCGGGTTCTTGCTGCTTAGCCGGCTACAACTAGACTGCCAGTACATCATTTTGAAGTTCATCTGAATTTAGAAGTCCTATCAAGAACCTCAACGGTAACAACAAAAAAGATACCCGCCCATTTCGGCTCATTACGTTGTACATGCATGAGTACACCGCCTCATCTTATCCCCACCATGATATATGGTTCAGGACGCAGGGAGCGCAACACTTGTACTTAAGGAATATGCCTTTAATCATACTAGGGTTCTTAGTATCATTTAGGGTATATGACTTAATAAATGGATATGGGGCGCCCTCGACATTACGGTTTCCATATACTTGAGCGCCGGTACATCCAAATATGATGAAACCCATGTTTTTCTGGACACGCACAAAGACGGAACTCTAACTGCTGGAAACCCTAATCCCATCAAAACATTACGCAAGGCCAGTTTACATATCATGTTCCTCTTTCTATTTGACTCTCCACCCTAAATCCTAAACAACCCTCTGGTCGCTGCCATTTTCTTTTCCAGCCCCCTAAATATCCCTAAGTATATATATATATATGTATATATTTCCATGCAAGTATATACATATGGTGAGCATGCACATATACATATATGAATATGCATGTGTATGTCCTTATTGACTTCAAGTATGCTGCATACAATTTGGGTACTGCCCCAACTCATTAACAGTTGGATAACATTGATGCTATAGTTATAGAGCCCTGGATATGACCCCTATTATAGACTGTTTATGGGTGGGGGCAGGACCCAACAGACAATGTGTAAAGCAGCTGAGGCTCTGGTGCACGCTGGAAATGGCTGCGCTGGTCAAAACACACGGGACAATGCTGGGGCAGGGAGGTGATCCTTTTGAGAGACCCCCCAAGCTGTACTGTGCTTAGGAATTATTTGTAATTCTTGTTATAGTATAACCCGAAGGTAATTCTTGTTGTAGTATAGCCCGAAGGAAATATTGAAAGCATTATTTTCATTATAGGTCTAAGGAGACTACATGAAGAGGGTTCAGAGCTTGGGGTGCACGGTTTGACCTAAGGGTCCAAGTACTGGGCTTTTGTTTAAATAAAGAACCCCGATTGTTTACGATTTTCCGTATCATTGTAACCCTAAGCCCTAAACCCTAGATACCCTCGTCCCTATATGCCCACTTTATGGGCACTTAATCCCACTTCCTTAACAGCAACCCAGCCTAAGGGACCAAGTATCCAAATAATGCGGGTTAAAATAAAAATCACCACAGTCTGGCTCGTTTTTGGTACATGGAACCCTTCATATGAGCTACGGCTACATTTAGGCTGGGGGGGACGTATAGGGGAGCATATAGGGTTTTGGGGGGACCTATTAAGGGATCTACTACAAATTTAGTCCAGGGCTCATATATTCGGGTGTTTGACCCTTAGGTGACTTTACGGTTCAGGGCTTGGGGTAGGGAATGTAAAGTCAAATTGAAAATGACATGGAGGCTGGTTTTCATTACTAGTATTACCCTAAGGGTCCAAGTACCCAATAGTCATATACTCACCCAAAACCTGTACTATAATTACTCTTACCCAATACCCAAGTACCTAGTTATTGGGTACCTGGACCCTTAGGGTTGCTATTCTTGTTATGGTTCATTCCGCAGGTTCCTTGGGTTGCCATATTTCCTGCCAAGCCCAAGTGCTACATCACAAGTCACAGGGTACCAGGACTTCTACCAGATATGGGAGGTACCTAAACCCCCCAACAAATAATCTAGAATAATGGCCTTTTGGTTGTCTAAGAGGTTTTGGTCCATTATTCTACCTACTTTTGGGGGTCTAGGTGGCGCTTTGTGGGAAGTGAGGTGATAAGAAGTGAGTTTTGCATTTTGGGAATTGAATTCTGAACGGTTCAAGACACTTGTTTGGGCATTCTGGACACAGATGCCAAGCCTTTGCAGCAAAGTAGCAAGCAGACTTCTAAACGTTGCCCCAGACAGCTAACCTAAAATGCTCAACTTTGGAGCACACAACATCAAGGCTTAGCCTTACACTCTCTCGGACCTCGGGCGCCCGTTTTTCACAAACTTACGACTACACATCCCCATGCAAAAATACATATATATATATACACATATGTGCATATGCATCTCTATGCAAATATGCTTTCTACATAGTCCCTATAAAGTCATTCTTGAATCCCAAATCCCCCAGCCTCTCGCAGCCCTAGCCCTAGCTGGTCGAAATTGACTGGTCAAACTGCTTACCTCTGGGTAACACGGACTGGAATGCATCCTTTTCGTAATTCCTATACTTCATATGCAACCCCAATCATATATGTAGAAGTTTCCATTTTCTCTTTCATGCCTTCACTCCCCACTCGCCAGAGGTAAGATTATCACCCCGAACCCTTAACCCTATGAAGCCTGGATTGCCAAGTACTTGACCGTTGGGATTATCTTTTCGTATGGTGTCAGGGCAGCCTTGTGATCGCCGCTTTGTTTCTCCAGATTTCCGGAAATCCTATGTCCTTTGCGTAAACATGATAGCCTAAACTTGGCAGACCCTTAACCTTCCAACCCTGAACACTCAAATCTGACCCTAAACCCCTTAACCAAAAAACCTCAAACCCTAAACCTTAAGCCCTGGAGTCTATATCCCAAAATCCTTAACCCTAACCTTACACTCAACCCTAGAGAAATGAGTTCTCCGAATCAACACCCCTATACCACCACCACCTAGGTTCACCCTGTCAAGTTTAATGGACCCTAATTCTCCTTCAAGAACCTTAATTCAGGGAAAACGGGGGGGGCTAAAGCCTAAACCTTATAAAGCCTAGTAGGCAATCACCCCAAACCCGAACTCACAATCAACTCAAAGACTGTGAGGACATCCAAGAAGCTGCCTCTGTATTTCATGCCGTTGGGCTTGGCAAAGGCCTCGGCTTGTGGAGTTGAGTGCTTAGGGTTTACAGAAGCTTAAATTGATGTTAGTACGGCGTAGAATTCAGGGTTACGTCTTGGAGGGTCATATAATTAGTTGAGGATCCTTTGGGGTTCTTACAACTAATCAGGATAAGATGGCTTTGCTGCCGTGGCGCAAGCCTGTGGTCTTCTTACAAGAAGGATGCCATGGTGTTGGCAGTACACGTCATGAAGGGAGACCCTAGTTAGCAACACGTGAGGGGTGTTGGGGTTTAGGGTTTGGGGTACCTTTTCTTGCAAATAAGGGGCAATTGGGGCACACACTTCCTTCAAGGAGGTTCTCAGCCGGGGAACCTACCTTCTGGTCAGCCCTATGTTTCGTTTTTGGAACAGGTACTTTTGAACAATTAATGAATTTGGAGTGCTCAGATCGTGCTTGAAACTCACTTCCACCCTCCCATGGCACCACGCGCCAAGCAGCCGTGAACCCCTCCCAAACCCTAGATCCCAAACAGACTCTCGAGCCGAAATCCTGTTTTAAGCCTGCGACTCCAAGTCTGAAAATATCACATGGGGGGTTGTCAGAATTATGGTCCCTTTTTGGGTCGCTATTATAGTACGGCACCTAATATTTAGGGTACCCGAAAAGAG